CCAAGGCAGAATTACTCTGTACCTTTTTTGTGCAAGTAAGCAGTGACTACTTGACCAACACAAATCATGAGGGACTGATAATTTATGCAAATAAAATATTGACACCTATGAACTTACCAAATTAAATCAGAAATACATGGACATGCGGGTGTATCAACACCACATCGGAAACACCAGGCCAATGAGCTTATCAGTAACATGAGATATTGGTTTCCCTCACCTGAGACTATAAAAGGAGCATCCCAAGACTAATACGTGGCAGGCACACTGACCTGTCACCTGGTAATTTGTCACAAGCCTCATCCAGGAAAAGTGCCACACTGAAGAACCTCCACTTCTGTCCCCAGGCTCTAGCACAAGAGGTTTCTCTTGCCTATTGCACACAGCTCACTTCAAACTGTCACCAAAACTGCCTGACAACTGTACCTACATTTGACAGCTGTGCCTGTGGTTTGAAAAACTTATCTGTTGCCCTACAGACACTAGATCCTTCTATTTCTATCAGCGCTTTGCCTCTGTGGTCAGTACAGCCCGTGAACCCTACTAGTCTCTTTAAACCTTTATATATGTATAAAATGTGATGTTTAATGTGTGATCTGAGAATTAATATTAGCAATTAAGATTGTAATAAAAGAATCTGTGATTGCCAATGGCCACGAATACCAAGGAAAATCAGAACTACTTGGTGAAGTAAAGCCAATGAACCTGACATAGCTTGAGAATTTGTTATTCAATAAATTTTGACAATGTGGAAAGACACAAACATTTTCATCTGTTTCTGACATAACTTGCTCATGACATCCGCAAAATAACATCAGGTATGCCAGTTCTTCTAATATACTTTTGAACTTAGACATAAAGGTATACTATAAACTAATCCAAGGGTGAGTTTTCATGAAAAAGTGACCGGCCTGGAGACAAAAACAAGGCTTATGGGGCAGAGGGATCACCTTTAAGGGACGGTAAGAGTAACACAAACTGACTGGTCTCCACCTGAAGACACAGCTTTCCTCAACTCCACCAGGGGTCCCTCAACAACTGAGGGAAGATTAGTGAGCCACACGGAGAGATGTCAAAGTTCTCAATAGCATGTGCACACCGGCCCAATTTAGTAGCCCACTTCCCTGACAGAAGTCTCTATGTCTTTATGATAAACTATTGTAGAAATAAAACAAAAAACCAGACTTCGTAATATTTTTGAAAAACAACTTGCTGCTTAATAATCTGCCTAGAGAAAGAAATTGCGGGAGTAGCTACCCCCTAAAGTCAAGTGACTGCTTCACCAAACTTTGTAATACACCAGTTTTCTTTATCTGTGGGTGTACAGTCCAAGATTCCAGCCACCCCACCCCCATCTTATTATAAATTATGTTGGGATATGGAAGTCTTATACTCTCAAACTTACTGTATATATTTGAAAAGTCAATTCGAAAATCCAAAATTGAAGGTTTGAAAAAAAGGACAGCAATAAGAAATTAACTAAAATACAAATTGAAAAAAGATACAGATACACATTCTGAAATAAGAGGATAATAGTAATCAAGGTAAAGTATGTACCTAAAAAAGATCCACTTATTGGAAAAGGAGTATTTGGACAGAGAAAAAAGTTTTTGTTTTTTTTTTGTTTTTTTCCCTTTCTCAATACAGACTATCTCTGGTCACTAACACAGTAGGGATTTTTCCCAGCACTTTTTTTTTTTCCTTTTGATGTACTAGGGTTTGAACTCAAGTCCTCCTGCTCACTAGGCAAGTATTCAATCACTTGAGCCATTCCATAAGTCCTCAGCACTATTTCTGAAGAGGAGCTGGATGTCCTCTAACTCAATTCTGACACTATCTACCTAGAGACAGTTATCAAATCTTAGGCTGAAGGCTCAGTCCCCAACACCATCTTCTACTTCAGAAGAAAACTGCAAGCCACAGGTTGTAGCCTGTGCTTCTGACCAGTTATAAACTTGGGTTCCCCCAAACCCTTTAGATTCAATTTGTTAGAGAATCACAGAGCTAAGGGAAACACTTTAGTTTATCAGTTTATTATATTACAAAGGATACAGATGAAGAGCCAGATGATAGAGATATAGAGGGCATTATATGGGGACACAGAACTTCCATGTCCTCTGCAGGTGTGCCACCCTCAGAACCTTGTGCTTAGCTATCCAGAAGCTTTTCCTAATCAGTCCTTTGGGGTTTTATGAAGACTTTAATAAGTAGCCATGATTGATTAAATCACTGGTCACTGCTGATCAACTTTAGGGTATAAATACTCACATCATTACTTGGGGTTGAAAGCCCCAAACTTCTAATGGTGCCTTGGTCTTTTAGGTGGCCAGTTTCTATCCTTAAATTACTTCGTCACTTCCAGAAAGTAGTCATGTGACTAACATACAAGACACTGGAGAGTCCAAGGGTTTTAGGAGCTCAGGAAACAAAAGGAAGACCAAATATTTATTTCATACCTCTTTATTTTTTACCTTTTAGATAGTGACAGTGTAGAAGGGGCACTAATTTCCCTCATCCTATGATGAGAAAAAAATCTGAATCCAAAGCACAATGACACACATAGCAAGGACAAAACTTTTACAGAAATTCCTGTGCCTGCCAAATTTATCAAGTCCTTTTGCTCTTTTTATTATGACAAAAGCAGGACACACATTTCTGTTTCTGCTTCCTTGACTGTACATGCTGCAAATGCAGATGGTTTCGGACTTACAATAGAAACTGTACTTGTATTTTTCAATTTCAAACTTTCCCAGGATAAGGAGCCACAGCTCCCAGTAAGCCAAGTATTTAGGAGGACAAACAACTGATATTCAACAGTATACTATATTACTAAGCTAAGATGTACTTGTGTTAAAGGTGTTTTGACTTAGGCTATTTTCAATTTATAATGGGTTTATCAAGATGCAACCTCATCAAAAACACATTAACAAAACAAAACAAGAGATGTAACCTCATCCTACCTAAATCAATAAGCATCTGTACAGTCAATTCTCTTTATTCAATTCAATACTGAATTAATGAATCCTGAATCCTAGAGAACAGAAGGTTAGATTCCTATAAGCTTCACATTTTTGTCAACAGACCAATACAATGTATTGCTGGTTCAGTCACACTAAACCACTGCTAACATACTATAACTTACACATATATACTTATTTTCTCCTTAAGGCACATCACAGTCTCCTTGTGTTGAGAAATATTAAACACTTCGTCAGGACATTTGGAGGCCATCTTAAACAGCAAAATTCCAGCAAAAAAACAAAGAAATGAGAAAAACAGAACTAAATCAACTGTGAAAAGGGCACACAGTGTAAGAACTGAAACAAGTGTCTCCTTTGTATTCCGCTAAGAACATGGTTTGGGTGGCTCAAATTTTTAACCTTAAAAGCACTACAAATACTGATTTGGGGGACATGAATAAATCTTAACAAGTAGGCAAGTTTGCAAATACAAAATCCACAAATAAGGATTGATATAGGCTGGAGGTATGGATTAAGCAGTAGAGTGTCTGCCTAGCAAGTGTGAAGCCCTAAGGTCAAACCCTAGTACCAAAAAAAAAAAAAAAAAAAAGAAAAGAAAAAAATTAAAAAACTGCAAAGCCCCCAAGTTCAAACCCCAATAAAATAAAATAAAAATAAAAAACTAAGGATTGATTGTACTTAAGTTTCAATTCTTTCAGTGGATTGGAAAACACAGCTGTCTTAACTGTGTAGTTAAATACCAGGTCTGGAAAAACAGGAACAGAACCTAGTCTTAACAGCTACCATCCAATTCCAAATTTTCAGTGAGCAACACTAACATGCAACCCAAATTCTTACCTTTGTATATTTAATTGTTTATATTAGAAACTTCAGAATTCATTAAGTATACCAACTAAGAGTTAAATTTATAATTTTCTCAAATGCCTATCAAATTTAATTTTGTCATCTTTCCAAATTAATCAAGCAAAGAACTGGAGTCACAACTTATATTACCTGTCAATTTTTTCTATATTAAGTCTAATGGAACAGATAAAACCATCTCCATAGCAGGTGGCTGCCCTTCTGTTTTTTTCCTTTTGACTAAATAAAAACAAAACTTAATGCTTAACATTTTCTACTTTGGGCTTTAGTGGTACATAGTGCTATGCTCTGCATTCCAGAGTTCTTAAATTATAGTCAAGGAAATGTACAATATGGTACAATATGTACTTTTTGTGTTCTTTCAGAGAAGGGCCAACAGGCAACGTTATCTGTATTGGTAGCTGTATGCACACACTATTGTTTTTTTATTTTGAAACAGGGTCTCACTATGTTGCCCAGGATGGCCCCAAACTCTAAGGTGCAAGTGATCCTCCTGCCTCAGCCTCCCAAGTAGCTGAGACTAGAGGCCCATACTACCACAGAGATCACTGCACATACTTGTTCAAGTCATTTTTTGCAACCAAACATTAACTCAACATCCGTTACATTACCTTTTTTTTTTTCTGGTACTGAGGTTCGAACCTTAGGGCCTTGTGCATGCTAAGCAAACACTAAACCACTGAGCTTCGTCTCCAGCTCTCCATTAGATTTCTTAGCTAGAAGTTGCCAGAGGACCTTTAGGTGTATCAGTGAAGGTCCTCAGATTGTGGGTCTCAGAATTTTTCTGAAGACACAACCATACACAGACTTTTATCAGACATTCAAACAGGTCTATGAGCCTTCTCTAATCCAAAATATTAAGAATCAACTCACTGGATTCTCTTTTATAAACTTTAATGTATGAAACTGCTAAGCACATTTTGACATCTTTCAGAATCTAATCTTATTCTCAGCAAAGTTCTAGCACTTTTAACAAGTAATTTTATAAACAGGGCAGACATTTCAGATCTATTTTTACATTCTTTTACAATTAAACATCCTACATTTCTAGCACATAAAAGACTTTAATTATTATCAGATATGTCTGAATTACATCTTAACCCATAGTACTTCATGGACTTCATGATTTTTAAGTAAATACCTAAATTTTAAACCTAAATACATAAAAGTGATGACATTTGCACTTATCTAAAAGTAATTAGAAAACATCATTTTCTTGAAATGAACTTGGCATAAAAGGCAGCAAATAGGTCTTTATAAGGAGTATCTGAATCTGACTTCGTCACCGGTATTCGACATAGGTGACGAAATCCAGGAGAACGCAGCAGCAAGTTCTGTGAAAGGCCCATGAAGCTGGAGCATAACCAGTAGAGAACAATCGACTAAAAAGAGAGGATATGCGTGTTAGTGCCTGTCTATTCTTCAAAGACACCAAGGTTAAGATAAACAGGCAATAAAAAAGAAAATGAATCTCTGTAAATACAAGTACAGTGGGATTGAGCAAGAGCTGAGGCAGCTATTAGATTCCTCTGAGGGATCTAACAGAGAGGTTAAGAAAGAAGGCTGAAAGGAAAACCAAAAACAAAAAGATATTTATGGTAGCAAGAGGATGACAGACAGCAGTTACCAGGCAGAGACCCAAGAAAGATCTCATCTCCCCTCTTTGGCAATTAAGCAAATTGCCAAGGCTCCTGACAAGCTGATTATACTTTTTTATTATTATTATTATTCATATGTGCATACAATGCTTGGGTCATTTCCCCCCCTTGCCCCCACCCCCTCCCTTACTACTCACTCCATCCCCTCCCTCTCCCCCCACCCCCTTGATACTTGGCAGAAACTATTTTGCCCTTATGTCTAATTTTGTTGAAGAGAGAGTATAGGCAATAATAGGAAGGAACAAGGGTTTTTGCTAGTTGAGATAAGGATCAAGCTGATTATACTTAAGATGGAATACTGGGGATGTGTCATTTACTACATCAACCTTAGCATCCCTAAACTTTATTTCCCACCATATACTCAATTATCTTCAAAAATTTTTCTCACTAACCAGTTTCTCAGTGTATTCAGGAATGCATTTTTCTTTGCCTTTTCTGAGACATAATAGTTTTAGCATTATCATCAACTCTCTTTTGTATTAGCATTAAGACTGTTTATTTAGATCAATGACTAAGTTCTAAAGTCTTTTAAAACATTCTTACACACACACATATCTGTTCAAAGCTCTCTGTGGCACCAGAAGATAAGCACCAGAGGCAAAACCATGTGGTTGATGAGTTTAAGTTCTGAAATCAAGCTGTATGACTTTTGAATCTTCTTTGCCAGTTATCTGACCTCATAAATTATTTATTCTTTTCCTGTTTCAGTTTCCTTATCTAGGATGTGAGGGCGAGCTGGCTGTCACCCCATTGATCACCAGGGTTGATTCGGCTGATTTGGCTGGCTAGGTGGGTGTCCCCTTCCTCCCTTACCGCTTCTTGTGCATCCCTCCCAAAGCTGTGTGCTCGGTCAAAGAGGACGACCATCCCCAACAGAAGACTGTTCTTTGGTCAAGGGTATATGAGTAGCTGCGCTCCCCTGCTAGAACCTCCAAACAAGCATTCAGTTTCCTCATCTATAAAGTAGGGACAGTAACTGTACCTACCTCAGAGGACTGCTGTGAGGAATAAATGAGATATTCATATGAAATGATAAGCACAGGGTGTGGCCCATATTAAACACTTGCATTTGTTCCAAAATAAGTCCTTCAGGGTAGAAAGTAATGTGTCATCAAAGGCAGATTAGCACAGCAGTTAAAAGAGCAAAGCTGCCTGCATGTGTGCTAATACTCTGCCAAAGTAGTTAACTGACCCTGCATCAGATGGTCATGCAGGAAGAACTAAATTCTATGCCTTAGCTTCCTCATCACTAAAATGAAGACTATAGTATCACTGTTCTGTTGGGAGAATTATATGAGGGAATGTATGTAAACAATTAAAACAGTGCCTGACACAAAATTAAATGCTGAATAAACATAAGCTGTTATCATCTGATTTATTCATCAAGTACTTGAACCCAGCCCCCAGAGAGACCATGAGTTGTCCTCTAAGATTTAAGTATCAATCCCTCTTCTTCCTTAGAAGCAAAATCCTAAGACAAGGATGGTGGCACATACCTGTAATTCTAGCACTTGTGAGGCTGAGGCAGAGAATCATGAATTTAAGGCCAGCCTGGGCTATAAAGCAAAAAACAGTCTCAAGGGGGGGGGTGGGAAATAAGAATCCCTAAGCTGGGTACACTGACATGTAAAAAAACAACAACAAGAAAACTATACCTACTTCCTAGCTTCTTCTGCAGTTAGATATATCCAAACAACTAAGAGGTAAGCACAACTGTTTGATGGGACACCTGGCAATGCTCCTTAACAGAAGCTGATTGCATCAGAAGCACCCTGTAGCATTCCTGCAAGACAGTAAGCTTCAGCAGCCACCATAACCATACTGTGGCTGTGCATAATAGAGCAGAAAGAAGCAATTTGGGTTCCTAATGTCTTTGTGGAGTTCATACATAATCCCCCAACCACTTCATTCTCTAAGAACATCATCTTAAGCAAAGTTAGCCAGGCTCTGAAGGACAAAAATCCCATGTTCTTCCTAATATGCAGATTACAGACCCAAAACAAATGCAATAATATTATCAGACATGGGTCACACACCTAGGGGAGAACGTGCACGGGAGAAATAGGGAAAGGAATAGAAACCTAAAACTTGAATGTGATTGATGTGCTCCCTGTTGAGGAGTGAATAAAGGAATAAAGTAATCTTAAATTAGCAGAGGCCACTATGGGAAAGGGACCAAGAAGTATCGAGGAGGTCTGGTAGAAATTAACCAATGTGGGTTTTAATACACAAATGCATGGAAGCAATGACAGGAATCTCTCTGTATAGCCATCTTTATCCCAAACTAGCAAAAACATTATATCTTTCTCATTATCTCTTACATTTTCTCTTCAACAAAATTGGAGAAGAGGGCAGAATAGTTCTTCCTGGAAGCGGGGGCGGGGGAGAGGCATACAAATAATGTAAATGTAAAAAAATGATAAAATAAAAGAAGGAAAAAAAAAAAGAGACTGGAAATAGAAATTGGGATTCAGCAGGAGAATTAAGACCATTCACATAAAAGAAAAGAAACCAACTGTAAGAAATGTTCAAGTGTTACTTGCTGAGAGGGACAGTAGATTGATTACTATGAAGACTGAAATCAGGAAGAGATCAAGTCGTAAGATGAAGTCCAAAGGAAGAGGCAGGATCCCAGGCAGTCTAAGCTAAGGACATAGATGATTTAGCACATGCTACCCACAATGCTGGTACTCACTGAAGGTACTGTTGCAGCAATTGGAATCATCAGTACTGATACAGCACGTACAAAGTATGTAACATACATCTGAAAACGGGACATGCCAATTTTTTGTAGAGCAAATATCTGAAAGGGTAGAATACATACATACACAATGATTACTAAAATGCTTATTAAATCAGACAAGCGTTAAATTGATTCTTGAATAGCCTCCACCAAAACTTTAATAAAAGCCAAAAAGAAAAGATTTTGGTACATAGAGCACTTGCCTACCATGTGCAAGACACAGTTTGGAACCCAGAACCACAAAAACCTAAAAATTAAAAACAAAATACTGATGAATTTATACGTTGATTATTCATCTTTTAAAAAATCTTATTATGCAAATTCTTAAATGGATTTTGAATAGTTCCTAAAAGATAGGTACCATATATGAATCACTGTCTTTGTTTTTTGACACCTAAGTACAATGAGCCTTGGTATCTGTGGGTATGAAGTTCCAAGGAGATCATGGGTGAGGAAAAAACCACAAATGCTCAGGTTTCACAGTTTAACAAAACTGATGACAATGCAGGACTCAATGAGAGTTTCTCTACGTTAATTGAGCTTTGTAACATTTACAGAGGAATTTTTTGACCATGCTTGGTCAAAACTACTGTATTTAAGTGTTCATCTCTCACCTCTATACTTCAAGTAGGAAGTGCTTTTCTCCTCCATTTTTTCATATCTCCCTGCTGTGCTGTTTTACTAAAATAAATCCTTGCTGGGCACCATTGGTGGTTCATGTCTGTAATCCCAGCCTCTAGGACGGCCAAGATCAGGAGGATCAAGGTTCAAGGCCAGCCCAGGAAATGGTTCAAGAGACCCCCATCTCCAAAACCAACCGAGTAAAATGGACTGGAGGTGTAGTTTCAGTGGTAGAATGCCTGCTTTGCAAGTACAAAGCTTGGAGTTCAAACTCTAGTCCCAGCTACCTCCAGTGGCTCATGCCTATAATCTAAGCTACTTGTGAGGCTGAGATCTTTGTTTCACTGTGAAACAAAGAAATAAATTAAATCCTTGGTAAAACTTAAAAAAAAAAGTATGCAATAAAATCCACAAAAAGGTAGACTTGCTGTGTAAGTGACTGACATAGAAAAAGCATTCAACTAGTCTATCAAGAACATGGTTGCACAGTACCAAGAGGAGCAATGGGAAGATGAAAAAATGGATGGAAAAAATTTTCCCCCACAAAATAACTTAATACAGGATTAAGAGGGAAATGAAGAAAATGGATACCCACTTCTGGACTCCAACAAAACAAAGAAGATGACGCCAAGGCACCCAATGATGCCTATAAGAACAACCTCAAGGAAGAAATCTTATAAGTAATCACTGAGAATTTCATGGAGATGTTACTAGACATGGTTAACGAAAACATACAAGAGGCACTCAAGAAATTTCCAGACACCAAAAATAAAGAGTAAAACACAGAAACAAATAAATGAACTCATAGGAGCCCTAAATAAACACCAAAGTGAAACACAGAACACTGTAAATAAAGAGATAAATGAATTAAAGATGAAAATAGACAATATTAAAGAGGAAGAGCCCCAAGATATGGAAAACCTCAGAAAAAAGAATGAAACAGAAATACAAAACACAATGGAAGGCCACTCCAGCTGACTAGAACAAGCAAAAGACAGAATCTCAGAACTTGAGGATGGAATGGAAATTAAAAGAAAAATTGAAGAACCGTTAGTCAGACAACTCAAGACATGTGAAAGGAATATGCAAGAACTCACCGACTCCATCAAAAGACCAAACCTAAGAATCATTGAAGAAGAGGTGCAAGCAAAAGAGATTCAAAATATATTCAACAAAATAATAACAGAAAATTTGCCAAACCTAGAGAAAGCTATGCCCATTCAGGTTTAGGAAGCCTCCAGGACACCAAACAGACTAAACTAGAACTTCCCCACAACATATTATCATTAAAACAACAAGTACAGAGGATAGAGAAAGAATATTGAAAGCTGTATACAAAGGTAAATCCATAAAAATCACAGATTTCTCTGGGCACTGAATGAAAACAACTTCAACCCTAGGATAATCTACCCAGCAAAACTATCATTTAAAATAGATGAGCAATTAAAGTTTTCCACGATAAACAGAAACTAAAACAATATATGACCACCAAGCCACCACTACAAAAGATTCTTCAAGGAATTCTGCACACAGAAAATACAGCACCACACCACAGGAGAAGAAAAGACAAGGAATCAGAGAGTAATTCAGCTGCACACAATCAAACCCTTAAACAACAAAGACAACTAAATGACAGTATTCACCACATACCTATCAATACTAACACTGAATGTTAACAGACTTAATTCCCCTATCAAAAGATACCATTCGGCAATGGATTAAAAAGGAAGAACCAACAATCTGCTGAATACTGGAGACCCATCTCTTCGAAAGAAACAAGCACTGGCTGAGGGTGAAAGGCCCCCGAAAACCGGCAGGAATTGCAATACTTATCTTGGACAAAGTAGACTTCAAACTTACATTGATCAAATGAGATAAAGAAGGACACTCCATACTAATAAAAGGGGAAGTACACCAAAAGGAAATAACAATTATCAACTTATATGCACCCAATGTCAACACACCCAATTTCATCAAACATACTCTGAAGGACAAAAACATATATAAACTCCAACACAGGGGTATTGGGAGACGTTAATACCCCCCATCACCAATAGATAGGTCATCCAAGCAAAAAATCAATAAATTCTAGCTCTAAAATATACCATAGAGCAAAAGGACCTAGCTGATGTCTACAGTATATTTCATCCAACATCTGCACAATATATATTCTTCTCAGCAGCCCATGGAAGTTTCTCCAAAATTGATCATATCTTAGAGCACAAAGCAAGCCTCAGCAAATATAAGAAAATAGAAATTATACCATGCATTCTATCTGATCACAATGCAATAAAACTAGAACTCAACAACAAAAGTAAAGACAAAAAACATGTAAACACCTGGAAACTGAATAACTCATTGCTTAATGAACAATGGGTCATCAATGAAATAAAAGAGGAAATTAAAAGGTTCCTGGAAGTTAATGAAAATGAAAACACGACCTACCAGAACCTATGTGACACAGCAAAGGCAGTCCTGAGAGGAAAGTTTATAGCCTTGAGTGCATATATTAAAAGGTCAGAAAGATCTCAAATTAATGACCTAATGCTACATCTCCAACTCCTAGAAAAACAAAAACAACCAAAACCCAAAACAAGCAAAAGGAGAGAAATAAAAAAATAAGGGCCAAAATTAATGAAATAGAAACAAAAAAAACCATACAAAAAAAATCAACAAAACAAAATGCTGGTTCTTTGAAAAAATAAATTACATTGACAGACCCTTGGCAAACCTGACTAAACTGAGGAGGAAAAAACCCAAATCAGTAAAATCAGAAATACAAAAGGGGAAATAACAACAAACAACATGGAAATCCAGGAAACCATCAGAGACTACTTGAAAACTTATATTCTAATAAATTTGAAAATCTTGAAGAAATGGACAGATTTCTAGATACTTATGACCATCCAAAACTGAACCAAGAGGAGAGTAATCACCTGAATAGATCTATAACACAAAATGAAATTGAAGCAGCAATAAAGAGTCTCCCAAAAAAGAAAAGTCCAGAACCTGATGGATTCTCTGCTGAATTCTATCAGATGTTCCACAAAATAGAAAGGGAAAGAAAACTGCCTAACTCATTTTATGAAGCCAGTATTACACTCATCCCAAAACCAGACAAAGACACCTCCAAAAAGGAGAACTACAGGCCAATTTCCTTAATGAACATTGATGCAAAAATCCTCAATAAAATAATGGCAAACCAAATCCAAAAACACACCGGAAAGATCATTCACCACAACCAAGTTGGCTTTATCCCAGGAATGCAGGGGTGGTTCAACATACGTAAATCTAAAAATATAATACATCTGGGATGTAGCTCAGTGGTACAGCACTCGCCTAGCATGCGTGAGGCCCTGGGTTCGATCCCAGCACCAAAAAAGAAAAGACAAAAATAAATAAATAAAAAAAAATGTAATACAGCACATTAATAGAAGCCATGACAAAAAACACTTGATCATCTCAATAGATGCAGAAAAAGCCTTTGATAAGATCCAACACCACTTCATGATAAAAGCGCTAAGAAAACTAGGAATACAAAGAATGTACCTCAACATTATAAAGGCTACATATGACAAACCTATAGCAACATTATACTTAATGGAGAAAAACTGAAACCATTTCCCCTAAAATCAGGAACAAGACAAGGGTGCCCACTATTCCCACTCCTATTCAACATAGTCCTGGAATTCCTAGCCAGAGCAATTAGGGAAGAAGAAGAAATAAAAGGAATTCAAATAGGTAAAGAAACTGTCAAAATATCCCTATTAGAAGATAACATGATCCTGTATCTTAAAGACCCAAAAAAACTCTACCCCAAAACTCCTAGACACCATAAACAGCTATAGCAAGGTGGCAGGATACAAAATCAACTTACAAAAAGCATTAGCTTTTCTATACACCAACAACGAAGAAATTGAGAAAGAGTATATGGAAACAATTTCATTTATAATAGCCTCAAAAAAATCAAATACCTGGGAATAAACTTAACAAAGTATGTGAATAATCTCTACAAGGACAACTACAAACCCCTGAAGAAAGAGATTGAGGAAGACTACAGAAGGTGGAATGATCTCCTGTGCTCATGGATTGTTAGAATCAACATAGTAGAAATGGCTATACTACCAAAAGCAATCTACATGTTCAATGCAATTCCCATCAAAATCCCAGTGAAATTCATCACAAAGATTAAAAAATCTACCCTAAAGTTCATTTGGAAACACAAGAGACAGCGAATAGCCAAGGCAATACTCAGCAAAAACAGCAATGCTAGAGGTATCACAATACCTGACTTCAAACTATATTACAAAGCAATAGAAATAAAAACAGCATGGTACCGGCACAAAAGTAGATATGAAGACCATGAAACAGAATACAGGACCTGGATATGAATCCACACAGCTATGCCCACTTTATTTTTGACAAAGGCGCCAAAGATACATGATGGAGAAAAGACAGCCTCTTTGACAAATGTTGCTGGGAAAAGTGGTTATCTGCCTGCAAAAAACTGAAACTAGATCCATGCTTATCACCCTGTACTGGTATCAACTCAAAATGGATCAAGGACCTTAACGTCAGACCTGAAACTCTGAGGTAAGTACAGGAAAGAGCAGGGAATACTCTGGAAGTATTCCCTGGTTTAGGCAAGGATTTCCTCAATAGAACCCCAGCAGCTTAGCAACTAAGAGAAAGGATGGACAAATGGGACTATATAAAGTTAAAAAGTTTCTGCACAACAAAAGAAATGCTCTCTAAACTGAAGAGACCACCCACAGAGTGGGAGAAAATATTTGCCAGCTACACATCAGACAAAGGACTGAATATACAGGGAACTTAAAAAATTAAACTCTCCCAAAATCAATGAACCAATAAAGAAATGGGCAACTGAACTAAACAGAACTTTTTCAAAATAAGAAATTCAAATGGCCAAAAAACACATGAAAAAATGCTCACCATCTCTCGCCATAAAGGAAATACAAATTAAAACCACACTAAGATTCCACCTCACCCCTGTTAGAATTGCCATCATCAAAAACACTACAAACAACAGGTATTGGCGAGGATGCGGGGAAAAAGGAATCCTCATACACTGCTGGTGGGAATGCAAGCTAGTGCAACCTCTCTGGAAAAAAATATGGAGGCTTCTTAAAAAACTAAACATAGATCTGTCATATGATCCAGCAATCCCCTTTCTAGGGATATACCCAAACTTATGTGACTTAGGTTACTCCAGAGACACATGCACAGCCATGTTTACTGCAGCACTATTCACAACAGCCAAGTTATGGAAACAGCCAAGATGCCCCACTACTGATGGATTGAGAAAATGTGGTATTTACACACAATGGAATTTTACTGCCATGAAACTGGATGGAACTGGAGAACATCATCCTGAGCAAGGTTAGTCAGGCTCAGAAGACCAAAATTCCTATGTTCTCCCTCATATGTGGACTTCAGATCTAGGGCAAATATAGCAATGTTGTTGGACTTGGGTCACATGCTAAGGGGAGAGCACATCGGGAGGAATGGGGATAGGTAGGAAACCCAAAACTTGAAAGTGTTTGATATCCCCACTGCAGAAAAGTTAATAAAGTAACCCTAAAGCGACAGAGGTCAATATGGGAAGGTGCCCAGGAAATAGGGAAGAGGTCTGGTAGAGATGAATCAGTTTGGGTTGTAATACACATGTGCATGGAAGCAATGATAGGAATCTCTCTGTATAGCTATCCTTATCTCAACTAGCAAAAATGCTTTGTCTTTCTTATTAGTGCTTATATCTTCTCTTCAACAAAACTGGAGAAAAGGGCAAAACAGGTTCTGCCTGCAAGCAAGGGGGATGGGGGAGATGAGGGGGGGTGGAGAAATGACCCAAACAATGTATGCACATATGAATATATGAATAAAGAAAAAACAAGTTATATCTTTTTTATGCTGCACTTTCTCAACATGGGGTAATATTAGGGATTACCACACAGTGTCATTACAAGAATTATGACTTATTTCAGACTACAGCACTGACATTAATTCATTTGACCTTTGTGTTTATTACTTCCCTCTTCTTACCAAATATTCCTATCAGCCACCTTTAGAGGGCTGTCAAACAAACCTCATTTAAAACTGACTTCCTTCTGCCTAGAAAGTGTGAGGCTCTGAGTTCAAATCCCAGTACTACAAAAATAAATAAATAAATTAAATAAAATAAAATAAAACCACTGACCTCCACTATTAATAAATTGATGACACCAACAGAGACAGGTAGAATCCAAGTGGAATCCAGCGCAGTGAGGTCAGGAAACCACAAGATCCCACCAGTTGCTAACTGCTCCTGAACAGAGAAACCTGCTGAAAATTTTATAAATCAAACAGTAAAATTCCTCAAAATAGCAAAGGGAAGTATACAAAACATAAGCAGTCTGACAATTCCGATAAGGTGTCCATCACACTAAAGATTTGCGTTGGAGACAAGCATGGTAGTTTAACAAGGTCAGCCCAGCACTCACGAGGCAGAGGCAGGCGAAATGAGACCAGCCTGAGCTACTTAGCAATGACTGTCTCAAAAAAAAGAAAAGAAAAACAGTTTTTGCACGGGCTTTTTTTTGATTATTTAATACAGCTAGGCTGTTTAGACTTAAAATTTTAAATTTTATACCTTTGTAAGGAATGTATTAAACGGTAATTATGAAAAGTATGATTTTTTTTTTTCTCTTGAAGTACAACAATGTTAGAGTACTTATTGGGAAAAGAGAACTTCTGTAAGTTACCTTCTGAATGTGTTGCCCCTATGCTAAAATTCCGGAGGGCAACAGACATGAAGATCCACATTGGAAGTTGAATCCAGACCAATACAGTGGCTTTGAAAGGGTGGCAGTTATCCCGAATATAAAGCTCTGAAACAAGCCTCCTCATATTCCTTAGATAAGTGAGCCTAGATTGAGGGAAAGGAGGAAAAGAGAAAATGTCATCTGGCTACTAGTAGTGCTTTGTCCTACAGCCCAAGCACACCCATCCTATGGTTATTGGCTAAAGAATGTGGACTGAGGTTTTCATTGTCATAAACTATGTTAAGATGCTGCGTAAGCAAGGCAAATAGAGTTTTTAAAAATTTTTATTTTATCAGTTTTATATTAACTTACTTGTGCATACATTATTTGGGCCACCCAAAAAAAGCTTTTTAATAAACTTCTATAGCAATGTATATAACTCCGTAACATTCCAATCAACCTGACACAACTATAGCCTTTGTCTCCAATCTTTGCTCTCTGAATATATTTTTTGTAGCTGTGTAGCTTTGGACTGTGTATGCTACTGGACTGTCAAAATGTTCTATATTCTTCAATGAACTCTCACAAAGATTCTCTTAATCTGTTTCTGTTTACTATATTAGGTACTCTGTTCCTGTTTTGGGTCTTACTTTCTAGACTATAGTCTCCTTGAAGGGCAAATGTTGTGTTTTTTTTTTTGAAACAGGGTCTTACTATGTAACTCAGGCTGGCCTCAAATTTGTAGTCCTCCTGCCTCTTATCTCCTGGAGTGCTGGGATTATGGGATTACAGACATGCGCCACTATGCCTGGCTCAAGATCTTTAAATCTTCTGTAGAGCTGTTACTTATTTATTTATTTGTGGTGGTACTGGGGTTTGAACTCAGGGCCGCATGCTTGCTAGGTAGGTGATCTACCACTTGAGCCACTCCTCCAGCCCCTTTAAACCTTTTATATCATACATTTTGTACAAGACAGTATTCAATACTTTTGCTAAATTTAATCAAATTATAGTGTACTGAATTAAGACAGTACACATGGACATTACAGGCAATTTTATCTTTACTTCTTTTATAGACAACTGCATGGTCCCTGAATGACTCCAACAAATCAGGCTTCTACATCAGCATGTCTTTGAAAATATTGTATCACCTAATAAACTTTGTTTCACCCTTCAAGACACAAAAATTCAAGTTTTGCTTTCCTAGAAAGCCACCCATGTGTGTACAAATGTCCCTGGACAAATATCCTGTCAGTGCTACAGAGGCTACAAGTCTTAACTAGTTGTTTTATTACCCGGTTGAATACCTATTAATCTGGATTAGTCTTTAGCAACTTCTTTGCTAAAATTTCAAAATTATAGGCTTTGTTAACTTTTATCAAATAAAGACATTAAGCTATCACAATGTTTTAGTGTTCTGTTTTTTTTTTTTTGATAGTATTAGGATTTGAACTCAGGGTCTCATTCTTGCTACTGCCCTACCACTTGAGCCACTCTGCCAGCCCTTTTGTGTATTGGGTATTTTTTGAGATAGAGTCTCTCTAACTATTTGCCTGGGCTGACTTCAAACCATAGTCCTCCTGATCTCTGCCTCCTGAGTAGCTAGGATTACAAGCATGAGCCACTGGCATATCAGGTCTTTTTAGTACTAAATAGAGACAGAGAAAGACAGAAAGAAGTCACCCATGGTGACAAATACCTACAATCTCAGTACTCAGCAGGAGGATCAAGAGTTCAAGGCCAGCCTGGGTTACACAGCAAGACCTTATCTCAAAAAGCAAAGAAAAAAAAAAAAGAAAGAAAAACAGGTATTTAGCAAATTTATACATTTATACCTAGATAAAAATATACAAATAACATTTCACAAACATTTGTATCATGTAACCCTTCTTTTTCTCACTGCTAGTGCCTCCTTTGTTGCAGTCTAATAAAGATCAGAATTTGGGAAACTAAATAATAGTCAACTAAGTAACAGTTTGACTGAAGTAGGATTTAGAAGTTCTCAGAGGATGCTGCAGGCATCCTGGGGCACAGTGAGGCACCCTTGAGAAGGATTTTCGAGAGGCTGGGTGGACAACTGCACGAGATAATCACAATGGACAGACAGCACCTTTACTACTCAAGTGCTTCTAACATGGCACTTAGATCCTCTACTTCCTCATTCATGTGCACTGTATCTTTTCAAAAAGGTCACGCTTGTAAACAACCTGTGCCGGCTGTTAACCAATGTCCCAACAGAATGGCAAAATACCTTCATTCTGTAAAGTTTTTCTTGACAACCTAGTTTTTGTATTTAATGTTTATAGGGTACTTTATTCACTGCCATTATTTGATTTTAGCTGTCTCTTCAAGGACAGGAACAGAACTAAGTTAGGTGGTATGCCTGTAGTCTCAGCACTTGAGAGGATAGGATCACTTCAGCTCAGGAGTTTAGGTCATCAGCCTGGGCAACATAGCAAGACAAGTTCTTAAAAAAAAAAAAAGGGGGTGGGGTGGGATGGGGGGGGCTGATGGAGTGGCTCAAGTGGTAAAAGTGTCTGCCTAGCAAGTATGAGGCCCTGAGTTCAAATCTCAGTGCTGCCAAAAAAAAATTTTTAAAAAAAGTCTCCGGTCTTTGTTTCTTCATTTCATTGCTTTCAGTCAATGTATAAAACTATGATGCCACATTCAGTTATAAACAGGTAAAATAACTACTTTCTTGACAAACCTCCAGAATACCCAAACCTGACTTAATATCACCACTTACATATTTTAAATATATTCGTGGTTTTACATGCATACAATGACTTACCTGGCAACTCTTTTGGACCAACCCAACTGACTTGCATAAACTGCAACTTCTTGATTAAGATGTCTGGCAATGTTTTTTATTTCTGGTTGCAAATTTTCCACCTAACTAAAGAAAAAGTGGTTTTATGAGCACAAAAAGGAATTTTATCAATAAGCACTCATAATTTTACTCTCTATTCCCTGCAACTCACTTTAAAGTACAGTTTACTGATCATGTTAAGAAATTTTATAAATCTTAACCCAACACGGTGGGATTACGCACCTATAATCCCAGCTACTCTGAAGGCAGAGGCAACAGATCTCAAGGTGGAAGCCAGCATGGCAGATATCAAAGTTTGGGGGGCGGGGGGAGCAGACAAAACCCAAAAAACTTTCAGCATAATATCTGCTCAAGATGTCCTCAGTCACAAAATCAAATTCCACCTTGTATACTAAGCTGTGTGGTCTGGGCAAGTTACTTAACCTCTAAAACTGTGTTCACTACAGCACCTAGTTCAGAGGATTGAGGATGAAATGAAAACTGTGCGCTGGGCTTTACTGTTCCATCCCAGATTTCCCAGTAGTGTAAGTGAAGAAAACAGCATTTACTAATATGCTTCAGTCTGTGAAAACTGGCATTTATTCTTGCCTTTCATTCTTTCTGTATAGACGTTCACTGCCTTCATGCTGCTGCTAATTCCCTTTCTGCTATCCGGTGAAGGCCACTCTTTCTCAAATCTCCTATTTGAATAATCTTATTGTTTACAAAGCACTTTAACGCGATTTAATCTCAACACGGTGAAATAGGCAAGGAAAGTACTACCGTATTATTTCACAGAAAACAGAATGAAGCCCTCAAAGGTCAAATGATAGCATTATCCAGACACAGGGCTATAAGTAGGAGGACCAGAATAAGAAATCAAATTAGCAAACTGCTGAGTAGTTTCTAATCAGAAAGATCCCTTGCAATACTTTGGCACAAAAGATGCTACAAAATGCTACCCCTTAAAACTCTCAAGACGGTGATATTATAGGTTTCTTCATACAAATTATTCTACAGAGGATTATTTATCGGTCTGCTCTATCACGAGGAAGTTTAGGGATGGGGCGTGCCTCAAGTGGTAGAGTAGCAAAGCCCAAAGCCCTGAGTTCAAACTTTAGTACCGCCAAAAAAAAAAAAATTGAAAAGCAAGTTTAGTAACCACTTTTGCAACCCAGTAGGACAAACGAAACGGCTGGCCCTCGTGTTGTTGCAGGAGGGCTCAGCCAGAAACTGGGAAGGCACCAGAGCTTTCGGGAAGAAAGTTTATTAAGCAGGCCAACAGCCACTCGGCGGACTCCAGTCCAAAGGCTGAGCCCGGAAAACAAAAGGGGCTTTCCTTATACACCATTTAGTGGGTTACAGAAATGGGGAGTTGTGTTTACAGCTTGCCCCATACATAATGACATGTTATGCCAGAAATTAAAGCACTCACTGTAGCACTCATTAATCTCTTTCCCTTCCCTGCCAGTGTCACAAACCACCTCTTAGCACATCCAACGGCAGCTAAATTCCTTTGCCACAAAGTGGCCACGAGGATCACTACTGAGCACGCAGGCAATACAGCAGGATCCAAGCCCGGAAGACGTCAGCCTCCGCCGCCGGTTCGGGCCCCTCACCTTGGCCAGGATGTAGTGCTGATAAGCAGCCAGGGGCAGCGTGACAGCGCCGCGTAGGGCCACGGTGGTGAGCAAAATGCTGCCCCACCAGGGCAGCCCCGAGGCGGCATGCGCACCAAGCAGCACTTCCTCCGCTGCCCGCACGGGCGCCGACGCGGCCAGGGCCTCGTACCAGCCTCCCGTGCTGCCCGGAGCAACAGCAGAGATGGACGCAACCGCCCACACCGGTAGAGGCTGAAGCTTGGGGCCGCTCATCGGGCCCGACAGAAGAGGCAGGCCCAGAGCACGGAGTCGCAGGGTAGGCTGCAAACGTGCCAATCGACCACCCAGGGTGCACAGCATCTCTGCCCTAAGGTGGGGCCCAATATTCCCGCGACCTGAACTGCTCTGTGCAGGTCACCACGATCATGCGCCAACAGCACTGCCCACACAGTGCGTACGCGCACGCCCCGGCAGGCAATCGCAATTGACCTTTCCAGTCAGGCGGTGGCGTCTTGCGTCGCACACAGATGACGCAAGAGATAAGGAAGTCCCGCCTTTCCCACGCGGCACGCCCGGGAAACTTTCCCGTTAATGGGTTGGAGCTCCTCCGAGTCCAAACAGGAACTGCGGAGATCAGCGCGGCGCTTTCTAGGGAGCATTTTTCCACATACATCTTGCAGTTCTTTTTCTACCGAAACTAATCGTGTCATTTATGGTAGAATTAAGCTTGATGTGTTCCTTCGTAACCTGAAACTGATCCCCACCCTTTAGGTGCACCTGACTGCTTCCATAGATTACGATAGACTGTAGTGGCCTGCTTCTATTTCAACACGTGTTTCTGGCTTGCCTCCAGTGTTAATCAGCACCCATCAGAGCTTAGGCATACATAATTCAAGTTGTGGTGTAAGATGTAATTGGCCCATTTCTAATTGGTTAACATTTTTAACCACACCTGCAAAATTGCCTTCGATATTTTATATTTCATTATAAATAGTAGCAAAAAATCTTATATGAAGGGTAAATGTCATCTGACTAAAAGGAATTACTGGCAGTGCGATTTTTTTTTTAAACTAGATGTTACTTGTATCTTAGGTATTTTAAAAAGCTTGAATAGCAGCCTTAAATGTCTTTTGGTTAAAAAGAATGTGTAGCGTACATGGGCTACACATCTTTTGTGTTTATGACAACAGTAAATAAATTGGGATAACATGGACCTACAAACCAAAATGTATTTTGAGGAATAAAATGATTTTTAAAAAGCCTCCCTTACATTGGGTAATGTCAAACTGTTCTCCCAGCACACCTAACCGGCTATCATTTTTTAGATTCTCATCTGCCTTTACAACTGATAAATCCATATTAAAATGTGTTTAAAAACTAATATATATGGCACATAGAGGCTTTTTCTAAAAGAAACAGCCCATCAATCTTTTCCTTACTAAAACAAATCAATTGCTATTGTCTACTGATTTAAAGTGGAAAGGAGTTCAGTTTTATTTTTTGGCAGTAGTGGTTTGAACTAAGGACCTGGAGCTTGCTGGGAAAGTGCTCTACCACTTCAGCCATGCTCCCAGCCCTAAAGTTCTATTTTAAATGAAAATTTCTTTGCCTAAAAACCAGTAAGGAAATGAATTGTTTTGCATTCTCCATCAAGCAAACATTGAGTTGGCTTGCCACAGTGATGTTTAATCTCCACACTCTGATTTTTTAGTATCTGGCAGGGAAGAAAGTTAAAAAGAACAATAAAAACTCTAACGCTAGGTCAGGGTATCCCTCAGTGGTAGAGTGCTTGCCTAGCACACAAAGCACTGGAATCAAAACTCACTGCTACAAAATAAATCCATTGATTTATAGTGTACCAAAATAAACCTTTTCTCTCTACAATATATAAAAATCCAGGACTGATGCATGCTTACATGGTAGAGCCCTTGTTTAACAGGCATGAGGTCCTGAGTTCAATCCCAAGTACCGCTCCCTTCCAAAATCTGTTATTTATGCATTTATTGTTCATAAAACCCAGACCAAAAGTTTTCAAGCTGTTCTTCAAATCCCTAAGGCTTCATTCTGTGGAACTTCATGTGCAATCAAGACTGTAACCTCTGGTGCCAGTGGCTCAAGCCTGTAATCTTAGCTACTCGGGAGACAGAGACTGGAAAGATTGTACTTGAGGATAGCTGGAGCAGAATTCATGAGATCCCATCTCAACCAATGCTGGGCTAGATGGCATGCATCTGTTATCTCCTGTTACCAGAGGAAACACAAATAGGAGGATCACAGCTCAAGCTGGCTGGAGCATAAAGTGAGACCCTATCCTAAAAATAATACACACAAAAAGTACTAGAATAGTAGCTCAAGTGGTAGAGGGCCTACCTAGCAAGTGCAAGACTGAGTTTAACCCCAAGGTTTGCAACAACAAAAACCCAGCTGGGCATGGTAGCACAGGCCTATAATCCCAGATGTTCAGGAAGTGATGATAGGATCACAGCTCAAGGCCAGTCTGAGCAAACTTTATTAAGACTCTTATCTCAAAAACTGATTGTGGAGGTGGTTCACACTTGTAATCTCAGTTACTAGGAGGCAAGTGTAGGAAGATCTCAGTCCAAGTTTGGCCATATGGCAAAAGTAAACCAAGAGGTTTACTATCTGAGGGATGGCAGAGTGGATGAAGTGGTAGAATACCTATCTTACAAGCATGAAGTCCAGAGTTCAAACCCCAGTACTACAAAAAAAAAAAAAAGAAAAAGAGACCCTATCTGAAAGACAAACTAAAAGCAAAAGGACTGGGGAGCTGGGTGCTGATGGCTCACATCTGTAATCCTAGCTACTCAGGAGGCAGAGATCAGGAGGATCAATGTTTGAAGCTAGCCTGGGTAAATAGTTCTAGAGACCCTATCTTGAAAAAACCCCATCACAAAAAGGGCTAATGGAGTGGCTCAATGTGTAGGCTCTGAGTTCAAACCCCAGTACAGCAAATAAATAAAAATAAAAAAGGACTGAGAATGTCTGCCTAAAAGCCCCAAGGCCCTCAGTTCAATCTCCAGAACCACCAAGACAATATATATAGTCCTCAATGATGGCACATCTGACTTTTCTACTTCATGATAGTGTAAAAGCAATAACCGTTAAATAGAAATCATACTTCAAATTTTGCATTTTTCCTGGGCTATCCATCTTCCTGATACTCTTTTTGCAGTTCCGTCAGCCCCATGACAAGAGTATGTGCAGGAAGCCCTGTTCAAACTCCAACACAAAACAAACTCCCCTAAAATGATTCTCTTTAACTATTGTGCTGCTAAGCTGACATTTGGGTTTTTTCGCCTTCTCTTTTGGTAGGATGGGGATTTGAACTAGCAATGATGTTTGGTAAATGAATGAATCTATACAATTTACTTGCAATAGTTTTGGCTCTTTTATTACCTTTTCTTTTTGCAGTTTCTGAAATTCTTGTTCATCATGGTGTTTTGGTCTGAATGTTTCATCTGCCCAAACTCCCATGTTGAAACCCTCGAGCGACATGTGGTCTTTGGGAGGTTTTAAGGGTGGAGGAGCCCTTATGAATTGGATTAGTGTCCTGATAGGGACAACAGATTGCCCTCTCTGCTCCATATGAAGAAACAGAAAGCAGGCCTTCATTTCAGGAACTGAGCAGGCCAGCATGTTGATATTGACATTGCAGCTTCCAGAACTATCAAAAGTAAGTTTCTGTTGTTCATGCCACACAGTCAATAGAAATTTTATGTAAGATTCAACTCAGTGCTCAAAATTTGAGTACGTCTCAATCATACAGTCACCTACTCTGATTTCCCAAATATGCTTTCTGAAATGTTTGACAAAAATAGATCTTGTAAAAAAGTTACTTTCATGAGCAAGTGCTTAATGACCGTTTTTTGGTTTTGGTGGGACTAGAGTTTGAACTCATTCAGGTTCAGGGCTCTGCACTTGCAAAGCAGGCACTCTGCCAATTGAGCCATATCTCCAGTCCTTCAGGAGCAATTGTTCAAGTGACTTTTTGGACACATTAAGGAGCACCCAGAATTCACAAAGTATAACCTAAATATACCAAACATTAACAATGCAATGTAAGAAATGTGGGTAAATTCATTTATCTAAAGTAAAAATACATTTAGGGAACATAATGCCAAATGATCTCTGTTAAGAGTGATTAAAAACACAAAGTTTTCCTTTGATATCTCAATAATTTAAAAATAATCTTGAGGTTCACGCATGTAGTCTCGCTATTTGGGAGGCTGAGATCAGGAGGATCAAAGCTGGAGGTAAGCCTGGGCAAACAGTTTAAGAAGCTCTATCTCCAAAATTACCACAGCAAAACAGACTGGAGGTGGCTCAAGTGGTAGGGTGCCTGCTTTGTAACCATGAAGCCCTGAGTTCAAACCCCAGTCCCACCAAAAAAAAAAAAAAAAAAAATCCAGATTACAAATTTTTTTTCCTGCAGTGCTAGAGTTTGAGCTCAGTGCTTTGTAGGCAGGTGCACTATCACTTGAACCACTCCACCAGCCCTTTTTTGTGTTGGGTATTTTCAAGAAAGGGTCTTGAGAAACTATTTAACAAGGCTGGCTTGAAAACAAGATCCTCCCGATCTCTGCCTCCTGAGTAGCTAGGATTACAGGCATGAGCCACCAGCACCCAGCCTGATCATAATTTTGTTTTATGCAGTACTGGTGTTTGAACTCAGACCTCACGTTTGCTATGCAGGCAACTCTACCACTTAGCCACTCTGCCATCCCATAAAATTCCTTGTTTTGGTATACTTTAAATGTTCTCCAATCCAGATATATGAGTGGGAATGAGAATGTTTCTGAAAAACCTCAAAATGAAAAGCCTGAATTAGAGGATCTGAAGGAATTTTTTTCTAGGAAGGAGTTTTGAGATCTTAAGTTACCCAGTTTAGTGTAACACTTGCTAGTGTTTTAAAAATAAAGTGAACAATACACAATTCATAATTTTTATGAAATACGTATTTAGGCAGTTTGAATCAAGACAGATGGAATACTATTTTGTGAAGAACAAGATAGAATTATTTAATACACCATTTACTCCTTTTATTTCCCCAGAGAACAAAAATGGCTTAGGATTATATATAAAAATTAATTTTCCTCTACTAGTCAAATAAAATAATTTTTCATTATAGTAATGGGAAACAGAAGGAGAATTTTTTCCAAATATGTAATTACTAAAATCACTTTTGTGAATGTTATATGTAAATATATATTAAAAAGGCATGAAGTGGGGATTTTTGGAAATGGTAAACAAAATCATCTCTAAAGTAGAATGGTTGATATAAACAGATTACACAATATTTGGAGATTTAAGGTGTGCTCTAACCCAAGAATTATTTCCAAATTAATTCACTTCTTAAAACAATGACAGAAAATAAAAACATCATGTAGTCTGCATATACACACACCACATAATTTGAAAAATGTTAAAAA